CATTCATTAAGTGATTGTCTTATATTTATTACATCTTGTAGATTTTCATTAAAAAATTCTAACTACAATGTTTTATTTTTTTTTATTTTTTCACCATACAAACAAATTGACTACTTTTTCCGAAATTAATAAGACTTTTTAGTACTTGAGATACTTTTATGACAAAAGTTAGCTTTACAACAGAATCGATTACTGAATAGTCTTCAATTTGTTTAATTAAATTATTAATTACATAGTATACGTCAAGTAAATTAGCTGTAAAGAATAATACAAAAAAGTAACTGAGAGTCCACAGAAGTTCACTTTACAGTGTTGCAAATCAGTGTGGAAAAATGGTTATTATTTTCACCAACCGTTTTTTTTATACAACCAGTTATTACCTACAGACGTGAGGTTTATTGTAACTAACCAAACTGTTAATAGAAATGTTATCACCTAATGGCAGTATTTCTTAATGCTACATATTATTTTGAATAAAAAAAAAAATTTCCACAATTTCATATTTTTAGTAATAAGTCTGAGAAAATGATCTTTGATGAGCAATATAGCTTGTAACATTAAATTATCTGTTTTGAGTTTATATGATATCTTTAAAATAAACCATGACGAATTTGAATCTATACTTTTCAAAGGCTAGATAACTTACTTTGTCTTTTTACAAATTTGTCAGCGAGATTTTTCAAGTATTCTAATTCGTACTCTATTTGATTCGTTAACTTTAAAATTGATACAATATTTTCCTCATCAATATTTGATTCCATATAGCTTAAACATTTTTTTTCCAACTCATTTATTTGCAAATAATGAGATAATCGAAACAAATTGCATGCGTCATTTTTTAAATTACAAGAATTACTGTACAAAAATTTTAATAATTCTTTAACAACAGTGGAATCCCAATCTTTGAGATTTATTTCTCCATTTTTCTTTTCAAGCATATCAGTTTTAATCATACAATTAAGTACATCGCTTCTGACAGAGAGGATACACTTGTGTACGTTGAAAACGCCATTTTTGGCAGAAACTTTCAAGTCTGAATACTCTTCATCTGGAAACAACTTTCCAATATCTTTGACTAAAGATTTTGTTGACTCCACCACATAAAATATTTCAACTGTGACACTTTGTGCTAATTCGTTCAAGTAAGTGAGTGGCTCATTCACTTCCATATAATGGGATGACAGTATTCCTTTACCCATATCCTTGAGCTTAAATGAGTATCCATTTGATGTAAAACGAGAAACGCGAGAAAAATAAGCTATTAATCGTGCATCACGAATCAAGGTACATAAAAGTTCGTCCTTTGAGCGTAGCATAAAGCTTAGTCGTGTTGTGAATTTGCAGCATCCCCTTGACATATCAAAAGATATAGATACAACAAATTGTTGTTGGTGCACATTTATAATTACGTCTTCTGTTGATTTCCAATTACATTCTTAATCTTGTATAAATTCAAAATCAAACACACTCCTTTCATACATTGCATTCATTACTCCAGTCATGTTTTTTTTCACCAAATCTAAAAAAATTAAATTTACGTAATAAACATAAATCACAGTTGAGGCTGGCAATTGATGGTAGTAGCTTACAATTTAATTATATAAGTTAAAAATTGTCTAATTTAAATAATCGACTTCTGATACACTTTTCAACGATTTCACTGTATACGCTATATGTAACAATTGCATGTATAGACATATATTGATAAATACAAAAAAAAAAAAAGTGAGTATACCTCAACTACTTATATCTTTACTGTTCTTGAAATCAACGTTTCTCAGGTTAGCAAGTGCTTATAATTATTTTTCCGCCCTCGGGTGGTTTTGGGAGGCTGGTACTTCCTCGGGCGAAAAAACAGTTTTCCGCCCTCGGGTGGTTTTGGGAGGCTGGTACTTCCTCGGGCGAAAAAGCAGTTTTCCGGAACTCGTTCGAAAAGTCTCCTTTACGAACCTCGTTACGTCCCTCGCCTTCGGCTCGGGCCGCAAACAGAGACTTTTCAAACTCGTAGGACTACTATTTTAACTTTTTCAACAACATTAAGTAATACAGACGTTTATGCGTATGGTACTGTGATGAACCTGTCTCGTCACGCGTTCCAAGTTCCAACCTTCCCAAACTCTAGACGTCGCGCGACACGCGATAAACAAAACCAGCGGTGAATGCGGTAAAACAGTGCTGTTTTTTTTTAGAATATAAAAAATCTACATGATTTTAATATTTTCAATACATCTACAATCAAGTATAAAATATCTCAATTTGATACAAATACTAAAATATAGTAACTGTACACATGCCAATTGAAAAGGATGCCTCATGCAGGCAATGTTCCAATACACACACAAAGCAATAAATGAAAAGCTTATGACAAACTAGCATTATTTGTTTTCCTTATCCTTACAGGTAGGTAGAATGTAAAGTTTTTATGAACCCGTGGTATTTCATAGGTACTTTAGTTTTCCTTCATCAAAGAAATATATCTAATCAGAAAATTTACCAATAAGTCAATCATAAACCTTAATTAAAAAACCACTTATAAAAGATTTAAAAAAATAGTATAATATCCCCTAAGGATTAAAAAATAAAATTTTCATAGAATTTTAAATAAAATTAAATTTAGGAAATAAGTTTTTTTTTTTATAAAACGTTTATTTATTTTTTTTTTTTTAGTAAGAATACAAAAGTTCAACCAGTAAAGCCAAACCATAATAAAAGTTTTAAAATAAAAAATTTTTCATCGTTTTCTTTTTTTGGTAAGCCTATGATTCACATCCAAAGAATTCTTCAATAACTCAAACATCAAAGAAGGTTCGGATACAAGTAACTGTTGGCAATTATCCAGTTGTAAAATTTCTTTATGATTTGACACGATGTACTTAATTGATTGATCTATTAAAACTTGAATTTTGTGTCTATGTGAAAACTTTAATATCGATACCACGGTGGCTGGTTTGATAGATTTACTCAAATATTCTATGTAGTCCAAATCTTTTGCTAACACTTCTTCATTAGATGCAATAAAATTTTCCGAGGCACTTTTTAATTCAAGCAATTCATACTGTTCTTTATCTACCAAGTCAAGAATGTCAACGATACTCTTTATGTTTATGTTGGATTTTAGATAATGTTTGCACAAATTTTGCAATGGTTTGATTCCTAAAAAATGCGACAACTTAAATAACTTAAAAGGACTTACAGTAACATCGCATGAATCAGCATAGATGTAATTTAATAATTGTTTTACAACTGTGGCCTCCCACTCCACCAGTTTAATTGTGTTGGTTTGTTTTTCCATCATACTATGCTTGATCATCGCACCAAGCGTATCACATCTTACTGCGATTATATTCCTGTGCACATCGAAAATTTCATCAGCAGCAATGATTTTCAAGTCAGAGTGAGCTTTTCCTGACAATAGTTGATTTATATCCGTGGCTAACGTATGGGAAATGTTATGATTTTGAGGTAAGTAGATTTTTATAATTAGATCACCTCTTCCACCACTGTAAATGTCTGGTTCACAAACTAATAGTTTTTTTGATGTAAAACTGGTACCATTCGTTCCAGTAAGTATGAATACATATTCATTTTGACTTGCGGAAAAGTGCGCCGATAATTTAATATCTGTGTGGTTGAGTGATGGCTTGCTGGTAAAAGTAATACTAAAATGCAAATAACAATTGTGGCCACTATAGTAACTATGCGATACCATTATATAAAATTTTCCTCCAAGTTTTTCAAAATTCAATTCTTGGGTCTGCTTATAAGAATACCAGTTTTTCCAATGAAAACTGACAAAAGATTCAATTCCAGTTCCAATATCTTTTACATCAGCCATTATCCTGCAAACATAGAATTTACATAAATTGTAGCTTACCATTGAGTACAGTGAAACCTGTAGCTAAATTGTACATGAGGCAGTAGAAAGTATAATAAGTCAGCTTGGTATTTGTTTGTGTACCTAATATAAATAGTTGTTACACAAGTGCATGGTGACTTGTCTTGCATCTTCGTGGATACAGAAATACAGATATAATATAGTGAATGATGAGTTTTTACTTTCCTCTTTCTACAGCCAATTACGGCCCTAACTTATACCTATAACTGTCAATCTATACTATAAGAAAAAAAACTAATCAGATACATCAACAAAAACTTTTAATATTACAAATTTTTTCTACACATAATAGCTAACTAGAGCTTTATTTAAAAAGTCAAGTGTCATCTCATAAATTACCTATTGTCAAATATTTGTAAAACTACTATTTTTTTGAACAGTAAAAATGCATCATTTATTAGTAAATCTCTTTTAGCTCAAAATAATTGCAGTTAATCACTGTTTGGGTGTTGGTTCTTTCTTCTCATTTTCACAAGTACATGTTTCAAGATAAGCTACATATGTATTTCAGATGTTTGTCAATACATCCTGAAAGTTTTTATAGGTACTCTGTTAAAAAAAATAGTACAATGAAGAGGCGGCTTTGCTGTTTGCCGTTTGCCGCAAAATTGCCGCTACGCTATACTTTAGCTATACACGCTACACACCTGCAGTATCAGACAGTACTACTATATATAGACAACTCGATCGATTCCTCGATCTGCATAAGGTATTCGATATTTTTTGAATAATCGATTCTTTACTCGATACTTTGAGTATTCGATTCTTGACGATTCGATACCCTATTCACTGAGAAACTGAGAACTGAGAATTGAATGAGAAAACTTTTTTTGATTTCGCGTTGGCAAGATGAGCAAGCACTTAGGTACTTGAAATACATTACACAGTAACAAATTGGAGTCACGCGAAGTG